TATATATGTATATATATATTATATAAATAAATCAACGCAAATTTAGATATATACAAGAACATATACAATTTTGTCATATACAATATGTACATTTCATACAGGATCGTAATGTACAGGATAAATTTAGAATACCAGAAGCCAATTTAACACAGAGTGTATTTTACAAGTCCAATAATCCATTTTGTACGAGTCTAGCCGAATTCACGTAATCGAGAATCAGGAAATCTATATAGCGAAAACAGTTTATTAGTCTAAAGATTGTATTGTATACGATAATCACCGTTACGCCATTCAACGTTAGCGACTCTATTTTCATCTGGTTATTATCTTTTCATATATCTTTTTTTCAAAAAAATATGTGTTTACATCATATATTTTCCACATATGCGCATTTTAAACGTCACAACGTTTACGGTGCACGGTGCGATCATCGCAAGAAAGAGCCTCAGATGGGTAAAAGAGCTACTCACCGATAATAGATACTGGATTATACACAGACGATATGACGTTGGCTGACGACTCCACGGTAGGAGTGACAGTCACCGTGACGGGCACCGTCAGCGTAAGTGTCGTCACTCTCGGTCGTACTGTCGTCGACGATGTAACTTTAGTCTCCAGTCCGTTAAGTTGCGTCACCACGTACGTGTATGTTCTTAATCGCGTCGACGTCACTACCGTCTCGGTGTAATAGACGCTCGTGCTGGGCTCAAGCGCGAGATCCGGCGTGGATTTGGTCTCTAGTTCAGACTTAACGGCCGGTTTGGACGGCAAGATCTCGGGGAAATCGAGGCGAGACAACGACAGGTAGAGATCGTCCGCCAGTCCGGCCTCGATCTCTTCCGGCGTAGGCGACGCGATCTTGGTCGTGACTTTTTTCACGGGGGTGGTCTCGGACACGGCGGTTCTGGTGATCGAGGACGATTTTGCGACTTCGTGTGAATAATTCGCGCCGAGGGGTATCACGCTGGGTACGTACGAGTCATCGAGATAATCGGTACGAGACGTATCGCGATCGCTCATCGACGATTTCCCAGTTTCCAGAGGTATTACGCTTTCGAAACTCGGCGCGATTGTGACACTAAACAAGGGAACCGTTTCGACAGGAGAGATCTGGGTTGAATTAGAAGCGATTTTAATATCCGGCAGTACAGGTTGCGCCGGTAATGTCTCTTCCGAAGTTTGCTCGATCGTTTCCGACGTGCTCTGTATACCGCGCTCCGTAGAGTCTTCGGGAGCTTCGGTTGGTCTTTTTTCTTCTTTTGCTCCGAGCGTTATCTCGGTGACAGGTGAAATATCCTCTTCCGTTGCGGTAGACATCGTAGTGATTTTCTCTTCGGAAACATTCGGAGACTCGGTGGACTCGTCGAGTTCGTCGGTCACAGTCGTGTGATCTTTCACGATTGATTCGTCGGTATTGTTTTCTTCAATAGAGGTAAATTCAGTAGTTGTTATATCTTCGTCCAATAGATTCGTGGTAGATTCCTCTGTGCTGGTATAATTGTCTTGCACAGTGATATCGATCGATTCTGTTGCATTCGTTGGCGTCTTATCGTGTATTTTATCCGTCTTTGCCTCTTCTTCCGACGTACTTTGACTAATCGGCGTCGTCGTCGTAACGTCGTCACTTTCCGTTCGCGTTTCAGAGTCGCTCTTAGTAGACACAACGTTGTCCTTATCTTTCGGCAAGATTGCTTCAGTTGTAGCCGCGTCTTCCATCGGAATCGTAATTTTTTCAACATTTTCGGTCGTGGTCTCGTAGTCGTAATCATCCTCGTACTCTTCCTCGTCGTCGAACGGAGGAAGGAAGAAATGATCGGTGATGATCACCGGCGCGTTTGACGCGCTTTCTTCGGACACGGTAGAACTGGCATCCGTCAACGCAAAACTCGTCTCCTCGTCTGGTCTGCTGTCAATAAGATTCGGTGTTACTTCGAGACCGGGCGTGACGGCGGAATGATCTATCTCTTCGTCAACTTTGTCCTCTTCGTCTTCCACTTTATCTCCTTCGTATTTTTCGTCTTCTTCGTCTGAGTATTCGTCGTAATCCGAAGAAGAAGCGGTGAAGAATCCGGTGGTAATAATCGCGAAAGTCGGTGTCGGCAGTATCGGTCGCACCGCGACTAATTTCTTTCTGGTCACTCTGACTTTGTTCGTAGTAATCGGCGTAGTCGGTGTGGTCAGGATTTTTCTGCGTCTGGTTATTGTCACTTTGTGTTTGCCAGCGACGGTCTGATAGCTCGCCGGATCGTCCGTAACGTCGGTCGGATCGATCGATCTACCCGATTCGAAGGTCCGAACGCGCGTCACTACGATTCTTCGCGGTGCGTGCGCGGTGGACGAGTACGTGAGAGACGCTTCGGTGCGAGATGTTAAAGGTCTGCGTCTGACGACGGTGAGTTTGTGTTGTCTGGCGCTTTTTCCACTACGCACCACGGGTACTCGAATTCTGACTCGTTTTCGTAGCGCCTCCTCGTCGTCAGAAGATTCTTCGTCGAATCTTCTGATATTAAAATCCTCGTTCGCGGGCCAAGCGACGGTGCCGTCTCTGTTGCGTTCGACGCTCGCGTCTCCGTATTGCACCGACTCGTCATAGAAATCACCTGCAAAGGCGATGTTCCCGCTTGTTTGTTTCAACGTGTTATTCTCGTAATTTAAGTTTATTCTGAGATCAGCCTACATGATGATGGTAAAGTGATAAAATCTTGTCGAGGATGTGCTTTTCGTTATGCGTTAATTTGTTCAATGACGTTAAATGACGTCGCTTGTCTCGTGTTTTGGTTTTTTGTAATAATTTTTGTTCGAATCGATTTTGCTTCACTTGCGTATTAGTGATATCACCCGGTTGCACGCACAACGTGTTTTATTTTTCTGCGACGATGTCGAAGACGGAAGAGTACCCTGTCCGAGATTTTGTCGTGTGGGCGCGCGTGCGGCGGCAAATCGAGGCTGTGTTAGTAGGAGAAAATGTAGGGATGATGCTCGAAAAGGAGAAAACGTTTTTCAGAAGGAAATAGAAGAGATTCGAGGAAGGATTGGGAGAGAAAGAAAGAGAGATAGAGAGAGAGAGAGAGAAAGAGAGCGGGATTGAATAAAACGTACACGAGTCGTCCTTGCGGACGGCCTCTCGTTTTCATCGAAGCTGCCAATTGTCCACGATCCTTTTTTTTTTTGGCAAGGAAAAGGATTTTGACAGTCTCGAGATCTTGTGTGTCTATATTACATAACGTAGCAACTGTTAAATTTTCATCTGTGTTGCTCGTGTTTTTCCCACTATATATGCCTGTAAAAAGACCGACGCTCTCCGCGGTGGAAGAGATTCATGAAGGACGGTTAACTTCTGGCGATTCCAAGTGGGTTTGATAAAATTATGGACTTATATAAGAATGTATGAGAAGGAAGAAGGTGAAGGAATGGAGGGAAAGTTTCGAAACAGAGAAGGACGAGATTATGTGTAGATGGACGTGGAAATGTGCCGTCCGACGTCACCCACTACGCTCTCGAGACTTTCTGTCGGCGCATGTGCGTCAATGGTATCCTCGCTTCCCGCCAAAATGGCGACGGCCGCCGGTCCGGCGTGCAACGACGGCGGTACAGAGGGACGTACCTCGACTGCTCCGTTCGACGTGTCTCTGCGTCTTCTGGAAGATGCGGTGACGGTGTCGCCGATTTTTACAGTACTCAGAACTGTGCTAAATTCTCCGGGTCTGCGGCCGGAAACGTAGAGCGTCACCACACTGGACTCGACCTTAGAAGCCGCCGCGGTAACTCCTTTGACCTCCTTTTTCTTGTCGTTCGGTTTCGCACGTCCACCTGCGCGCGATCTCGACGACTTCTTGTAATCTTCCGCTTCGTCTTCTTCCGAATATTCGTAACTATCGTGTCTGTAGTCGGAATCGGCCGGTTGATGTCTTCTCTCGACTTCTCCCGGCAGAGTGTTGCTCTGCGTAAACGGAGCGGCCGCGAATAAAGGATCAAGCAGCGGATTCGTGTTCTGCGGCTGTGTCTGCGGTTGTTGAAGCAGCAGCAAGAGAGAATTCAGATTGGCCGCCGGTATGGCGGCCGTCGGTGTTACCACAACGGTGTCCGTGACGAATTCCGTCGCGGTGACGACATCGGTCGACGAGTCGACCAGAGTCGTCAGAATTTCCTTTCCGCGGAAAGTTAGAGGAATGACAGTGCTCTGATGCTTCGTTATTGTAGTAATATAGGAAGTGGTGCGTGTGTTATATTGTGTGGAGGGTGTGGCTTGTGGCTGCAGCAATGGATTCGGGCCTAACTGGCCCAGAAGTAATTGCGATAAAAGAATATTGGCGAGAGGAGCGTTGCCAGACAGGGTTGGCTGTACCGTGGAAACTACGTTCTCCACGGAGTATACCGTTGTGGGCATGATAACCGATTGAGAGACGCGACGGCCAGCGAGGCTCGTGAGAGTGTGCGAGATACGAGTAGTGGGTGTCTCGTGAAGTAGGAATCGCGTGACTTCGGTTTGTCCTTGGACATTGGTGCCCGTCACTTCGCTAACGATTACCACGAGCGGTTTGCCATCTCCAGTTGTTACCGTGCTGTACTGAGAAGGCCCGAGAACCTCGGTGCTAGGCTGCGCCGTTATGATGTTTCGATGTTCCGTAACGCCATTGTTCACCACCGGAATTGTCACCTCTGTCGGCACGTAATGCGTCACAGTTATGGTGCCGTCGAAGTTCGGATATATCGTAGGTGCTTCTCGTATATCCTCGTGAGATCCTCTGCCTCTCGTGGAACCTCTTCTGCTATTTCTTCCGTTTGTCGTTCTCGAGGACGAACGAGACGGCGGTACTCTTCGATTGGTCGGAGATTCAGTTGATTTGGATCTGTTTTGTAATCTCGGTGGTCTCACTCTGTCGGTTGGTTTACTGGTGGATCTGTTATTTGTTCTTGTGGAACCGGAAGGCGGCCTCTTGTATCCCGGTCTATTCGAATCTTTTTCTCTTAATGTAAATTGTCTACCGTTGCTCGAAGCTGGTGACGGCTTTATTCTGACAGGTCCGTTCCTATTTCCGTTAGATTGATTCGGCCTGGTGGTTCTGGATTTCTGCTGACTCGGCGACTCCATCGTCTCCGCCGACGATTGATCCGGACCATTGGATGCCTTTTGCTGTAACTGCGACGGTGTCAAACTCCGCGCGCGATTATTGCTATATCGAGCGATAGGTTTAGTCTTAACACTGTCTTCTTTAGTCGTTACAGCATCCAGTGAATCAGATCTTTCTTCCGCTTTTGCGGGAGACGAAGACTGAGCAGGTCGACGAAACCGATTGCTGTACATTCTCAATTGACTAGCTTGACGACGAACTCTTCTTCTAGTTCCGAAAGGTCTGATCTGTACAACGGGTCCGACGGATTTTCCAGAACGTCGATTCACGTTCGATCTTCTGTCTTCGTGTTCGGATCCCTCGTAATCATTGTCAGATATTTCTTCAACGGGTTCGTCTTCAAAGCTTTCGTCTTCTTCGTTTGCCTCAGTTGTTTCGGTTGGTTCTTCGGTAGTTGCTTCTTGTTTTCTTCCGAGAAATCCACGCGGTGGGAACAAACCCGTGTTACTCGGTCGTGTTCTCGTGGACACTGGAGGAGTTGCTCTGTTATTCGTTCGGCCATTAGTCACTCTTGGAACCGTTGGCGCGCTCGGCCTGTTCAGATTGCTCGATCGTCTCGGAGTCGTAGTCGTCGGTGGTCTCGGTGTAGTTACCGACCTGCCGTTTCCATTCAAACTGATCGGTCTTCGGAATTTTAAGAGTGGATTCGTGGATTTTCTCGTAGATTCCGTCGTGGTTTGCAAAGGAGTAGTGACAGTTTCACCGTCTAAGGAATCGGTGAATGACGTTTCGTCCGTGACAAGCATGGTTGTGGTAAACTCGTTAGCGTCGTTTTCCTGATCCTCGTGCTTAATGGTGGACTGTCCTCTCAGTAACGTCGACGACGGTCGAATACCCGTTCGATATCTCGAAGAAGCGACGGGAAATGAGGAACTCGAGACGCGAGCCGGAGCTTTCGAGGATCCTCTTATCGACGTCGGGCCGCGTCTGGTGGTTTGAAACACGGACGTTGGGCTTATTCTAGACGGTGTTCTTCCTCGACTGCTCGAAAACGACGTGCTATACGAGCTTGTCGTGGTGGTAGGTCGTCTTCCTAGAAATCTTCTTGAATTCGACGGAGACAATGTCGAGGAGTACGATCCGTTGGGCGATGTGACGCGAGTTCGCTGTAACACGAATCTGCTTCCTTTGCCGGCTAAAGTGGCCGTTATCGTAGGAGTTATATCCGTTCTGGTAATGGTCGTCGCAGCTTGCGCGCCTTTGCGTTTCGGATTGAAGGTAGGTCTGTTTCTGGAAGCGAACGGTCTGATCACCGGTGTGAAGGTCCTCTTTCTGGTCGAGAACGTCAAACGTGATTTCTTCTTGGAACTTTGTCCATCCTCGCTTTCTTCATCTTCCTCATCGTCTTCTTCGCCTTGTTCGCCATCCTCCTCTGATTCTTCGTCGGTGGGTTCCGTCGAAGAGTCTTCGGACAGAGAAGACTGAATAACAGCGGGAGAGGGTGAGATTTCTGGTATACCTGTCGATTGAATAGGAGGTATAGTAGAGGTCGGCGAGATGCTTGTTGTGCTTGGCACGTAGAAGCTGGAAGTACTTTCGATAATCTGAGCGTATCTTCCTTCAATGCTGGTACCGATAACTTTCGATTGATAGAACGTGGTGGTTCCGTTATTCTCAATTTGACCTTGAATCAGGCGCACCAAACCGGTTCGATGACCCTGAGTGGGTGGAATACTCGCTTTCCTCTCTTCGTCTATCTTGGTGCTCGATGTGTGTTCGATCACTTTAGCGTACGCGCCGTCGAGAAGCGTGCCGACTTGCTTAGTTGTAAAGTAAACAGTAGTGACTTCGTCGGCGTCTATTACACTTCCTTTGTTCAACGATAAAACGCCCGTGGGAAGTACTGGCGTGGCTATCGACGAGGAAGGCAACGACGGCGTTTCCAATCTCGTCGAGCTCTCCTGCACTTGCGCATAATATCCGTCTATGTAAGTGCCGTAAATATCCGTCGTGTAGTGAGTCGTAGTACCTTCGTGCACTTCGCTCGAACTTATCGTGGAGATCAAGCCCGTTTTCTGAGTCTCGGTTACTTTGGAAGGCGATATAGTTGTCTTTTCGTCGGTGCCCAGAGTTTGAATTGACGGATACACAGACCCACCGATCGCGCGACCGGTTGGCTGTTGCGTCGCAATATTCGACGGTATCGAAACGCTGGTCACCGTTTCCAGTCTGCTGTTGAGGATCGTTTCGTTTCCGATGTAAGACGTAGTGAAGTAAGTAAACGTAGTGTAGAAAGTCGTGGGTTCGGGTGATATTGATGAAGCGTTCACGACGCTGTGATGATCAGGATCAGTCACGATTCCTTTGGATAGTACGTTCGCATCTTCAGTGATGGATTTTCCAGGCACGGCACTGCTCAAAGGTGTAACTTCGTTGTCCGCTGTGACCTTGGATTCTTTCTCGTTCGTCAAAGACGTCTCTTCCGCTGGTGGATTCAAGGTCGGCGTGTACGTCATTACTACACCGAGTTCTACGGTGGGTGAGGACGCAATTCCCTGTGTGACGACGTTGCTGACCGTTTCTTCGCGGCTGGTAGTTATGGTGTCGCCGCCCTTGTAGAATGTCGTCCAATAAGTAAACGTCGTGAAATACGTTACCGGCGTTGTGCTGGTCGGTTCCAGCACTACGGAGGGAGACGGTCTCAAAGTCTCCGTGACAACATTCGTAACCGTTTCTAATCGACTCGCAACATTTGTCTGATCGCCTTTGTACATCGTCGTAAAGTACGTGAAGGTGGTGTAACTAGTTTGCAGAAGCAACGTTGGTGCTGGTTCCACTTCGTGATTGTTGGACTCCGATAATTCCTGATCCTCGGGAACGATGTTTCTCTTGTCCATCACATCCAATACAGTGCCGCCACCGGAACTGGAGGAAGACACAACGTCTGTTATCATGGAACCGATAACTTCCACTTCGTCAGCCGGAGGATGAGGTGTAACTTGAGCGCCTACTTGAAAGTCGCGAAACAGACGTTCGGTAACGGGTTGATCCTCCAGTGTGGTAGGCACTTCTGTCGTTTGCTCGGTGTTGCCTTCGGTCATAGTCGTAGCTTCGTTGCGCGTCGCTTGATCGGCTTGTTGAACCTTTTTCGTTAGTAAAAGCTCTTCTTCCTGAGACTTCTTACGCTGAAGAGCTTCCAGATAAGCTAAGATCTCCGGAGGCACAGCAGGCTTACTATCGACAGATTTTGGTGTCGTGAGTTGAGTCGTTTCTTGTGAAACTGGCTGAACCTTCGTAGGTGTAATGGTTTCAGTAACCACGTTTGTAAATACCTCAGTTCGCGTCTCGATCTCCGTTTCGTCATCAACAAAAATAGTAGTGAAGTACGTGTAAGTCGTGTAATACGTCTTCACCTGTTCTCTCACCGCTTCGCTTGCCATAGCTGGAGTGGGACTCGGTTCTAAATCAGTAGTCCATCCATCTGACGTCTCGAAATCGTCATTAGTTGTGATAGAATCCGTCGGAGTGGTGTCTTGCTGTTGGAAAGTAGTCAAACTGTCTTCCGTCGTTTCGTCGAGAACCTGATAAATCGGCTCGGTACCCTTGTTAAACTCTTCGGGAGTTCGGGCGTTTGTTACGGACGGCAAGATACTCTGCGATATCGTCGTTGGTGATATTAACACGGACTCGTCCTTGTCGAAGAGGCCGGCTACAACGGCAGAAACCCCGTTTGGTCCGACGGTCTGCGTGATAACGTTAGTCTCGACGACCTGTCGACTGGATACGCTCGATGTGTTTTCTTGGAAGAATGTTGTTAAATACGTGTATGTTGTGTACAAGGTCTTAAAGATCAATTCTATTTCTTCATCTTGTTTGGTAGTCTGCTCTTCCTCGACCTCGCCGAGCAAAGTCGGCGTTTTTCTTGGTGAAGAAGTAGAACGGATTGAAACGTCGGTCGAAGTAGGTCGAATTAATTCAGTCAAGAATGTCACCTCGGAAGAGACCACTTCTCGAGAGCGAATTGAAGTCGTGGTCTGATCGTTGTCGCCCGGAATGAAGAAAGTTGTGAAATACGTGAATGTCTTGTAGACGGTAGACGGTAGCACTTTAGTGGCCACCGTCACTTTCTCTTCCGCATTATCTGAATCGTGTGACTTGTGTTTGTCGGCTTGCAGATTATTTTGTGGAGAATCGTTTTTAATGCTACGTCCTTGGTGATCTCCCAATACGATGTCATTCGGAATTTCGTCCTCCAAAGTCGGCATCACCGATTCCGTCGTTGCCAGTACTCTTCTCGCGCTTTCCAAAATATCCTTGAGAGTTGTCAGAACACTGTCTGTTGTGTCTTTTAATGGAGTGCTCAGTTCGTTCATTTCATTCTCTTCGCTGGTAGTGATCGTTGTTGGTGTGGTAGAAGGCAACTCTTCGACAGTGTCCTGTTCGTCAGATTCGGTTCCGGTTGTGCCGTATTCCACAGTAGTGTCGTCCGCCTCATAAGTCACGGTGGCTTCATCCGGAAAGAAGTACACATTCGATGACGTGTGAATTATTTGCGCGTAATTCGTGCCAATGTACGTGCCGTAAATGAGACTCTTGTAATGAGTCGTGGTGCCATCCAGTGACGTCGTGGAGTCGATAACTTTCAGAAGACCCGTCGATTTCACCGATCCGGTTTCGACATCGGGTACCAGCAGTAACGGTTCCGTGGACGTGGTAGACGATTCGGCTTCGGTTTCCTCGACCAAGCTAGGCTGAATGTTTCCGCGATTGATAGCGCTCAGCAGCTGATCATCCGAGTGATCATTTTGATGATTTGAAGGCAGATCGGTTTTCGCGCGATCCATCACGGTCGTAGGCCGAATCTTCATCACCGCCACGCCATCGTCCGGTCGAAGTGTGGCGTCGCCTTTGATCGTGGTCGCGGGACGTGCCAAGGGCGCCGGCGACGTGCTCGGCGAGAAGACGATGACGGTGTCGCCGACCGTGGTCGTGAAATCCGCGAAACCGTGATAAGTCACGGTAGCGAGAGGCTTTGTGTCCGGTTTCTTCTGGGGCGCGGTCTTCACCTGCGGCTTAAAGATCTTCGGCGCTCGCGGTCTGAAGCTCTTCGATTGCGCGTCCTCGAACGCGTCGAAACCGCTTGTCACGTATTCCTGTTTGACGGTGTAAGTGGGTAGATTGTCGGCCGTTCGCACCTTCGCCGGTTTAAATCTCTGCGCGTCCCCGCTGAGTTCTCTCTTGCTGAATATATCATTTTCACGAGACAGTTCGTCGAGTTTACCGATCGTTCCGGTCTCTTTCTGCTTCTCGGTATTGCTGTCGATGTTGTCGTTCGGCGCTTGTATCTCTTCGATAATTCTAATTGGCGTATTGTCGAGAGCCACTCGGAGCCGCCATTCGTCCTCCGGTGCTCTCGAGGGATAAACTACGTAGGGGCTCGACGGATCGGGAACGGGCTCTTTCTCGTAGAACACCCTACTGGACGTGGATAGAATTCTCGCGTAAAAACGACCATTGTTTAGAGTCGTGCCGAGGACTTTGGTAGCGAATTCGGTGCTCGCGCCATCCTGCACGAACGTACGCGCCGTATTCGTCAACAGTCCGACCGGAGGTATGGATTTTCCAGGACGCGCCGAAACTAAGAGAACCGTGGTCACTCCTGAGAAGTCGTAAACGAAGAATACACACCGCAAGCAACGTAATGTCGTAACGACGCGAGAAATTACCGTGTCGGCGATTTCATCAATAGAACCGTTAAAAACGAAATAAACAGCCGCAATAAGTCACCGGGGTGGTAATTGCGATGGAAAAACGAAATATAAAGTTATCAAAATGTGATTGATCATTCGCGCAGGAACGAGCGCACGTGCGTTCGACGAATCCGATTCGTTCAGGCACGTTTTGCATTTTGCGTGTCCGTCCGTGTCACAATCGTTGTGCGTCGGCGTGCGTCCGCGTTTCGCATTCGAACGACAATTCGCGTCATATGTTATTATTAAATTTTTTTAATTGTTTATGTAGGTCGTCGGAGAGACGGAGTGGCGGACGGACGTTGGAGGCAGACGGCATCCAGTTGTTGAGAAGAGTTGAAGGCGGGGAGCAGACGGGAGCAGTAACAGAAACAGAAAAAAAGAGATAGACGATCTTAGTAGACGAAGACCTTCTTCTTTTCGTAGCCTAAGACACCTGTTGTGATAATTTATCCGCGGTTATTCCGCTCTGATCTGCGTCATTAGCCTACTCTTTGAAAAAAAAAAAAAACGCTGCTTCTTCCGCTAGGCGGAAAAGTGAAAGAGAAATTGGCATGCGTACGAGGAAGAGAAAGAAAAATGTTCAGCGCCATATTAGATCTTGCCTTATGTACACCATCCCCAGGACCTGAAAAATCCAAGATAACCGACAGCGTACGATTTATCTCTCTCCCAAAAAACAAAAAAAAACATCAAACAATTGGCATTTCATTTTATTGCCCACCTGTTACACGAAACGCGCGTTACATTTTCGTGTCCTGAGGAGGAACATTTTACAATGCCAATCGTACGGCAGATTTGAAAGGCAGATAGCAGCGTAAGAGATGACATGTACATGTAATAATCGCTTCAGCGATAGGAAAGTTATACTGCCCGTTTATTTACACAGCCGCACCTCGCGTCAACACGCACATGTATACTTGAGACGCGGATGTATCGTCAGAAGAGCTGAGTTATATAGAGAGCAGAGACAGAAAACAAAAGCCGAAAGACTAATTCGAGGAATTGCGCTCAAATTTGACGAAAACGATTCAATGACAAAGCGCGATGCGTCCAAATTCATATCGAAGTTGTTCAAAATAAACTCTCAAGCTCGAGCGCAATCCTCGTTTTTACGTGTGTCAGTGTGATTTCAGGTGTCGTAAATGTGTGTCACGATTAGCATACATTTTGTTAGGCATGTTTCTCGACATGCACGAAAGAGACTTACCCTCGAGGTCCCTTTCTATTCTGGACGCTCTAATATTCGACGAATCCGCGTCTGAAAAAAACAAAACCAATGACATCTTTAACATTAATCCACTTAACGTGCTTAAGAGGGTACTGGATACCGACTATAGAGACCTGTAAACCGACTTTCTCCTATGACGTTTGGTGTCGTATTTACTTCATTAAATCTAAAATGCTTCTACAAAAATAAGTAAATTGTGCTAAGGATTGGCGCTTGTTCTTTGGAATGTCAAAATTCAGCATCAATTTTTTCTTACACAGTTTCCTTCTATAACCTCACTATATATTCTTGTATGTAGTATTATTTCTAAGCTTATGTACATATTTACAATGAACAAGCGCCACAGATACGACAAAAACGAATCTAATGAGACATCCAGATTATGGTATAACTATCTAATTGATGAGAACAACGTCTTAGTGTGATGACAGTATAGGTTATCATATGCTATCATTATGAATAAAAAAAAGAGTTTCAAAAGGCATTATATATCTATTTTCAAAAGCACTAAATAGTTGTTTATATGTATTTGGTTCTATAGAAGCACTTTTTATGTAATGCGGTAAAGAAACTTAAAAATTAGAGAAATTTAGGTTTTTAAAACGTCGGTTTACAGGTCTCTATCCAGTTTGCAGGCCGGGCTCCAGTACCCTCTTAATTTGCATGTGCAACACAAGGTCGCCTCGATGCAGAGGAAACGGTGGGTGGTGAAAGGAAATTATTAAAGAACATTGATGACAGTAGGAGCGCTTCATTTGGTCATCGTCATAGAACACCAGCTCCTCGCGAAATAATCGTCATGCGTCATACGCGATGTTGTCATTTCCACTTCTTTGTGTTTAAAGAATCATCTTTTATGCGCGCGTAACGGTGATTTTTTTTTTTTATCTTTTATATTGCCGGTCCTTTTTGGACAACGCTATTTAACAACGCGTCTGTTTGTGATTTAAGAAACTAAAAAAAAAAAACAAAAAGAAACACATGGCGACAGAATGACGAAGACACAGGAACGAGCTCGGGAACGAGCGTGACTATGCGAGAATAGACAGGAAGAGGAGACACGACCAGACGTCGACAACGCCAAAGATGTCGTTCGGAGGCCGCGACGTACAGTTATCTGACCGACTCCTTTTCCTCGCGGGGAATATCTCTGCGTTTTCTTCCCGCGCACGTGAGTGCGCTTGCACGTGACTGCATATGCGCAAAACACCTCGACGAGCAATTTCTGCCTTTTCATTACGACACTGATTATAGTGACAGCAGACTTGCCTCACGCAGTAGCGAGGTAATAATACGCGCGTATAATTTAAATTCAATTTATTTTTGTTAATCAACACGCTTTTTGTCAAATATGAAAAAGTTACCTGGCAACACGTTGTATTAATTATTTTTGTGTAAGTTTTTTATTTATTTGTTTGTCTCCGTCGAATGTATGCGCGCGCTTTTTTTCGAATTCTCGGATTTGTTTCTTCGACGCGATTCAACGATGCTGAACTTTCGGGGTGACCGGAGCAGATTCCGGTTATTCGACGACGACAGGCAGTTCTCGGTACCGCGGCAATCGAGACCGCAGACGTTGTACCTACGCGGTTCGAGGTCATCCTCGTTCGGACGCATTAGGTCAGCTGGTCGACTCCGTCGTGTCGCCCTTCTTTCCAGCGTATGGCCTCCGGCCAATCGGGCCGTTCTGTGGCCCCTGACGAACCGGTCACGTCACGTTACTCAACAATCGGCAACGACGATCGGAGTCGCATCGACGTACATATATGTGACAGAATTCGTGGTTGGCATCGCGTATTCCCCGATATTTCAGTCAAGCTTGAATTGCGTTATGAAATGCAACGCGTCGCGATTACGCCAACCTGTCGTGTCGACTTCTGTGCGCGCACATTGAGAAGCGTAGGATCATGCATATTGAAAGAATTTTGCAAATGAAATTTAAATAAGTTGAAATAAGAAATATGTTTACGGTCATCCGAGCCGATCGCAGGATGTTGTGCGGAAAACTGCGAACAAATTATATATGCATATATATATATTTACACGCGAACAAATATATATATATATATATATATACGCAGTTTTCCGCACAACATCCTGCGATCGGCTCTGATGACCGTAAATATATTTCTTAGTTTAGTAACTTAACGAGCTCTTCAATAAGATTTAATTGTTAAGTTGAAATAAATTAATATTTGCGCGTATAGGTTTATTTTTTTATTCAAACAGAAAAAATATCGCGCTGATATAAGATCGAGTAAAACTGTTGGAGACAAAACCGCAAGAGGAAAGATCCAAATGGCCGTGTCACGTGTATGTGTCGACGAATCATTTCTGCTGCTGCTGCTGCTGCTTTCGAGTTGCATAATTCACGCATAATTTTCGCATAGCTTTCCGCGCTGGAACAACATCGCCGCTTCTGGTATTCGAAAGCGTGCAAACAACCGTAAACCAAACGGAGATACGAGGGCGCACCTGACGATCGACTTCCACGTATGCAGCTGCATAATAGTGGTTGCATAGGCGAGGGCTACCTTGAGCTCGTTTTCTTGCGCGATACGCGAGAAGAGAAATCCTCCGGGGATTATAAATGTTCATTTCGTAAGAAACAATTCGTCCATTCATGTCGCGCGAACAGAAACCTGCCGCTAATGTTCGAAAGATTTCTTTTTTCCTCCCCGACGATTGCTCCCGCAAACGCGTAATTGACGAGTTTCGTTCGGTAGAAGGCAATTGCGTCAGCGGGATTCTTCAATGGATGGATAGGGTCGTTAACATTCCGCAATAGAAGAAAAAAGCTGCAAATCCATAAACGCGCTTGATTTTCGTCATTCACACCGCTTTTCTAAAATTGCATCCCGCGCAATTCAATCAAGTTTTAAGCGAAATTTTATATCTCGATTATTTATAAATGTAGTCATTCGATGTCCACGCTAACCCTGAACAACAAATGTCGTAAGTTTTAACTATCTTGCGAGAGCGACATGAATGTATCAAGGTAACCCAGTCGTCGTCGTCGTCGGCTAATGCATGACGCGTGATTTCGATCTCACTTTCAACACGGTGGGCGACATCATGTATCATGGACCATAACTAGCCAGAACAATGATGTGATGGGAATCAGGGACTTATTATCGGTATGATTTCAATACCGGTATTATACNAGAGATTGTATACCGAAACCGATATATTACCGAAGACCGTAATAAAATACCGATATTATTTCGGTATTCCTACTAATGGTATTCTTAAAAATTATATAGATAAGTTAATTAAAGCAATTTTTGTTGCATAATTAATCTTCCTACCGCTTATTGGACTTATAGACCGACAAAATATAAAGACGCTTTTTTTTTCTAAACTAATTGAAGCATTTTGGCAGAAACAAAAAAGTAATATTCCTGCATTATATTCTTTGTCTAAAATAGTTTTAGCAGTCCCACCTACACAAGTTAGTGTTGAGAGACTGTTCTCATCATTGAAATATATATTATCATGCTTACGTTATAATCTATCCGATAATATTCTTGACGATATTCTAATTCTCAGAACTAATAAAAATGGAAATTTTTAACAAATTTGGATATTGATAAATATGTCTATGTGTATTTTGTTACTGTTCTTAATTATATTAATTATTGTTACTGTTCTTAATTATATAAAAAAAATAAAATAATTTAAATAATATTAAGTTTCTGTGCGGCAGTTTTTTATAAACATTGTATTATTAAAAAGTGTTATCAACATAACGACAACACTTATAGTTTTAAGATATTACTTTTAAAAAATCACGAAAAAATTATCGGTAAATATAGGTAAATATGGGTAAATATACCGATATTATCGTATACCGGTATGACGTCATACCGGTATTTCTGCATTTCGGTTTGCATAAGGGTTTTCATAGTATTACCCAAAAATATCGGTAAAATACCGGTATTTTGCATATCGGTATAAGTCCCTGGATGGAATCGCGCGAAGCGTGCAATAGAAGAAGATTTATGTACACGTGAAAATTTTATGTGAAGTTGCACTAAAGATTTCATTAAGAGATCCCTATACTATGCGTATGTGAAAGAATTTAAAATTCTCATTTTCTCTTATATATCTCTCGAATTTATTTTCTGCTTTCTCGGAAACCGAAATTCTGCGGGTGCTTGCGTCAGAGACGTGACGAATTGCGTTAATATTGTCGTTACGGTTTTCCGGTGAAAGCTCCTTCAACCTCCTTCCCAAAAAAAAAAAAAAAAAAAAAAAACAATTGTGTGCCGAGGAAGTAAATGCTCCGCACACAGAAGCGATCGAAATCAGATTTTGCCGCGGCAGCAGTGAATTAATTTCTCACGTTGCGGGCAATTCCTGCGGAGTTAACTGGCCGTGTAATAGTCAATGCGGCCGCTTAGGAATATGCGTTTGCGCTCGGAGTCGAGGCGCGCGCGTTGATATATGTGGTAAACCGAGAATAATGATGATTACTCTCACTTGCTCAATAATTTCTTGCGAGCGACCGGCAATATTTCTGCGACGTTTCCACGTCGGTACCTTCGTCTATCTTCTGTCATTTGACGGCAATCGCGAGAAAAACATAAAACTTCTCACAAAGGAGTCTATACAAGGAAATTATCTCTTGATGAAAATGATGTAAGCGCGCTTTGAGATTCGCGTCGATTCGTTTGTATGTGTGTACACGCGATATTTTCATGAAGTTCTCATCGAAAGGATGTCTCAAGCGCGAGTCCCGCGCTGCCATTGTTCCGCGCTAATTGAAAACGTATCGATTTTCCATGGCTAAATTCGCCGACAACGTGAAATCTCGTGCTTCGGGTGCGCGGAAACAGGTTCGAGTGAGAGAAAGCGGTTCGATCCGTGGGAACCGGTAAATGCGGTGCCAACAGTTATCGTGTCTCGTGCGGACACCGGAGTGTTCCTTAAAATATCAGTTTTGCACGTGCACGCTTGCGTGTGTTCTAGACAAGATACACGTTCAAAATCAATGTACTACTGTAGCGTTTCGCTACGATTTTTTTTTC